GTACAACAGGTAGTGCAATCATGTTTGATATGTGCACAAATAAATCCCAGACCTAAAGGACAAAAACCGCCTATACAACGTATAGCACCTGCAAATGGTCCTTGGACTACTTTACAAATTGATTTTATTGGGCCATTACCAACAGGTAAGAATGGATTAAAATATGCCTTAGTAGTTGTGGATGTATTCTCTAAATGGTTAGAAGTAATTCCTCTGACTAAAGATGATTCACAAAAAACAGCTGAAGCATTATGGACACACATTTTCTCAAGATGGGGATTTCCTAGACTTCTAGAGTCAGACAGAGGTACCCATTTCACAGGGAAAATCATGCAAGCACTGTGTGCTATTCTAGGCATAGAGCAGAGATTTCATGTACCATATCATCCTCAATCTGCTGGGATTGTGGAACGTATGAATCGAACATTGAAATCTAGACTTTCAAAAATGTTACTTGAGAAAGGCAACACATGGGTACAGGCACTTCCTGCTGTACTTATGGGTATTAGAGGCACCATGTCTTCAGCTACACAATACACTCCATTTGAATTGATGACAGGTAGGAAAATGCAGTTAAATTTTCCTAATGAACCATATTTGTCTACTCCCCAGAAAGATGCAATTGCTAAAAATAAATGGTTGCAAATGCTGCAGGAAAATTTGGAGCAAATTCTGCCACATGCAGCTACTCGTATGTGCAAAATGGCACCTCCTGATTTTTCAAAGTTTTTAAAGGGGGGTATGGTCATGATAAAAACTTTTAGGAAAACTGGACCTTGGGAGGCAAATTGGGAAGGTCCTTATAACATAACAGATACAATGGGTCAAACAATGGTACAAGTGCAAAGACCTCTTGATGGTTCACGGAATAAACGGAGGCAAAATTGTTTTTGGGTTCATGCAGATCAATGCAAATTGTATAAACCTACAACATAATTTGGTAATATATTGATACTGCTTTGTTTTTCTTAGTTTATTTTAGATAATTTGTAAGCAGACCTACAGACGAAAGTTGGCCGGTGACAGACGATGTGTTCGCAAAGACAACCGTGTAGCAGAAAGAAGGTGTTCGTCAGCATCCTGCTAACATTGATGACTACAGTTCTTGTAATAGTTATTTTTAAGATGAACAAAACGACTTTCAATCAGGAATTAAAGAATGACTTATTTGGAAATATTAGAAAAAAGAGAGACAATGAACAAGTATTAAAAGGTCATGTTTGTTTCGGGACAAAAGATGGTTATCTACAAGTATGCAATGTGCGAATTAATTTCACTGGAGATAGTGTTATTAATTTAAACATTACAATAGGTCCTAATGATTTATTTAGTTGGACCAAAGGTTCATTTGTACAAGACAATGTAAAAACGGGATCATGGGAACTTAACATATTACAAAATGCATATATCATGATTGTAGTTAATGGAGAGGAAATGGTAAATTGGTCAGGTGACATGTATGTGAACGTTGCACAAACTTCAGTAACAACGCGAGGACGAGGTGGTGAGGTACTTTATACAATTCAATACTGGCTTATACATTTAGAGCCAGAATTCCTCTTAAAAAACAATACTCCAGGTATACCTTGGATATGGGAAATACGAGCATCTAGGGAATCATTGACAGTAAGAGTTAACATGATGTTTCTGGTAACTGATTATGTTATGCGAGATATTATAATGAAGCCTAGTCTTGTAGATATCCAGGAAGGAAAGGAAAGACTTAGATTAACATGTAGTACACATATAAGTTTACCCCCTGAGTCTGTAATCACATGGAAAAGGGAAGGAATGTTTTTGGGTAGTATGTCACATACAACGCCAAAGGTTATTCACAGAGGTGTACTAGGAAAGGTGGATTGGTCGGAAGAAATGTTTGTTTTCTATTTAGACAATCCTACCTACAGTGATAGTGGAAACTATCAATGTTGTTTAATGTTAAGAAATCATCATGAGAGATGTGGTGATGTTAAGGTAAATGTATTCTCTCCCAGAATGGTAGAATGCAAAAATAAGGTTTTTAAGTTATCAAGTCCCTTTCAATTGAATCATTTTCAATCAAAGCCTTTGTTATTAGATGGGAAATTTGCAACAATAGTTTGGCATTTCAATGTTTCACAGTGGAAAATCTCAAGTAAATTTCCACAATGTAAGGAACATTTATTAAATATGGAACGAGGCTTAGAACATTGGTTTGGAGGAAGTAAAGTATCAAACAGGAAAAAAAGAGATATAGTAGAAGGAATTATGGCTGGATTTGGTACTATAGGAAGTATCACCAATTCTATGGATATTCAAACATTAAAGAATGATTTGGGAACTGTAGGGTTAATAGGGGGAAAAGGATTGCATATTCAAAGAGGTTTAAATCAAATATTGAAAAATATGGTTATGAACACAGCCTCTGTTATTGCACCCTCTGTTCAACATTTACAGGAAACTACTTTGGCATTAATGAGAAATGCAGATTCATCCCAGGTAGCCAAAGCTTGTTTAGAGATACAGGTTGAATATTCTACAGATTTTAAGGTGATGGCACAAGCATTACAAGGTGGTGCTACTCCTATAGAACTCAAACGTAGTTTACCTGAGGAGTTTGCGTTCGCTAAAAATCATACAGATTTATGGGTTAACAAATGGTTGGGATGTAACAATGATATATGTATAAGTTCTTCTTTAATACCAATTTCTGGTATTGAAAAAACACTATTTTCAATGTCGGTATTAGGAATTCCTATTAGTAACACACAATTATTATTCTATAAATTACAATATCCTGATTTTGTATCTTATAATAACATTACTGAACTTGAGCAGGTAGATCTTTCTAGTTGTCTACATTTTGCATCCAAAATAATAATATGTTTAAATAACCAAGTTGAAACCATTTATCATTCATGTTTTCATAACCAAAGTTCATGTTCCGGTAAAATTAAAACAGTTAAAAATCCTCATGAAATTGTAACTCCCATAGAAAAAGATAAAGTATGTGTACAGGTTATGTCAAATAATGAGTTAGTAAGAGCTACATTTTCAGAATGTACACATTCAGAACATTACAGAAAGGGTTATATTGTATCAATGGGGGTCAACTAATAATACATATTCAAGGAACTCAAGTTAACATATCGAATAGTCCTATACAAGATATAGATATCATGCCTATTCAATTAAATGTTTCACAAACAAATGAGTTTCCATGGAGAAAGTGGGCAGATGAGATTAGGAAAGACAAGATATTATTATATTCGTTACAAAAACAGTTGAGAGAAACAGAAATTCAATTTGAACATGAACAGGGTAAATTAAAGGAGATAGAACATGAATGGTCAATTGTTTCTAGTTCCTCTTGGTGGAATGACATAATTAAAAGTACAAACACACTTGCTAAATCATCTGTGGGATCAGCAATTGTAAATATTTTATTTCATCCATTTATCATTGTTGTATGTGTATCTATAATATGTATTGTTTTACAAGTAATTATTCAATGTAGAATTAGAAAACTGTATATACTCATAAATGAAAAGGTAAAACAGAAGGAGAATACACTAAAGGAAACTGTAAACAGGGTAATACACAATACTTTCAAGGAATCTCAGATACCAGGTAGCTATGAACACATCTCTTCTTATACCCAACGAATGTGATATGAAATGTGATACGAATGATGTATGAATGGACAGGTAAATAACATTATTATGGTTTATAAATAAACCATAAACAGAGGGAAATGTAGAATATTGCATATTCTGTATGTTCCTATTCAAATACATATTAAGGTGTGGCTGTCTAATGGGTTAAACAGAACAGATGGTGTTTGCTACTCTGTAATATGAGGTCTCTGGAATTTCCTGTATAAGAGATTTGAGGCGGTCTTTATATAGGGAACTTCCTTATATGGCAGGGTCTAAACTAAACATTATGACGTAATTTGGGGTATATAGAGTCAAGGACAAAGGATTACACTCTCTCTTCCTGCTACGATCCGTTTGCTCTCCTCTCTGATGTCAAGACGACTCTCTGTAACATCCTTAAGAATTACCATCTGTTAAGTATATATAACTGTTTCCTGTTGAATGTAGAATAAATACTCATTTTTTATAAAGAACGTCAGATTGCGTATTACTAATTTTCAATAATATAGACATATATTATTGTGGCGAGCATTTGGCCCAAGACGTATATATATCAATCAACTGAAGACAAGAAGAAATATCTATATATATATATACACAGGGCCGGATTAACATAGGGGCTGATGGAGCTGCAGCTCCAGGCCCAGGCCTATGGAATAGGCCCATTGATTTATAAAAAAAAAAAAAAAAATTATTTTTATTTTTTTATTTTTATTTTTTACATTTTTTTTTTCACACACTACTCTTAGGGATTCCACCTGGCTTTTATTTTATTGGCACAGCCAGTATTTGAGGCTGCCTGGCTGGTGTCAATATTACAGTGATACTGGCAATACAAATGCTGGTATTTTTATCAGTATAAACAAGAGATTACTATGCAATACCAGCACTGGCCAGTAGGGGTCGCTGTATGTGGAGACAGGCAGGGATAGGAAGTTCCAGCATATCCCTCCCTGCCTATCTCTACTCACTGATCTGCAGGGGTGCATCTACAGAGAGTCCAGACAGCAACTTCCACCCTGCAGAGACAGCCTACAGCTCATGGAAGTAAGGGATGGGGGGAAATGCTGCAAGGAGACATGGGGACACTGAGACACTAAGGGACATTGGGAGACATTATGACACAGACACATGGTGACACAGTGTCCCCATGTCTCCCAGCCAGCGTCCCTGGTGTCTCAGTGCCCCCTAGTCTCCCAGTGCCCCCAGTCTGCCAATGTCTCACTGTCCCCATGTCTCCTAGTGCCTCCATGTCTCCCAGTGCCTCAAGTGTCTCAATGTCCCCATGTCTCCAAGCTAGTGTCCCTAGTGTCTGTGGCCCTGGTGTCTCCTTGTCCCCATATCTCCCAGTGCCCCCATGTCTCAATGTCCCCATGTCCCCCAGCCAGTGTCTCTAGTGTCTGTGTCCCTGGTGTGTCCCCAGTCGTGTCCCTGTGTCCCCCAGTCGTGTCCCCAGGTCTTCCAGTGATCCTATGTATCACAGTGTCTCAATGCCCCATGTCTCCCTGTGTCCCCATGTCTTCAAGTGTCCCCTATTTTCCCAGTGTCCCCATGCGTCCCAGCCAGAGTCCCCTAGTCTCCCAGTGTCACTGGTGTCTCCGTGTCCCTAGGTCTCCCCGTGTCCCCAGGTCTTCCCGTCTTCCTAGTGACATGGGGACCCTGGCATACATGGGGACACAGGGAGACATGGGGCATTGAGACACTGTGATACATAGGATCACTGGAAGACCTGGGGACACGACAGTAGGGGACACTGGGAGACGTGGGGCACTGAGACACTGATACATAGGGACACTGAGACCTGGAGTAATCGACACATGGGGCACTGGGAGACATGGGGCCACTGGGAGGAATCCATCCATACAGCAGAATCAAACTAAGTATTTTTTTGGTGATTTTACAGCATTTTCTCTTATGTCACTCCTTGTGATTTACATCATGTGATGTCACCCATACATATTTAATTATGCAAATTAGCAAGGCTGGCATGTTTTTCCAAGAAAGGTGGCAACCCTAACTACTTTTCACATACTCTTACTTAAGTATGGAAACTTAAGAGGGATGTATGGGAACAAAACTTGTGTGGACTGGCTGACAATGAATATAGTTAAAGGGACACTAGAGTCACCAGAACAACTACAGCTTATTGAATTTGTTCTGGTGAGTAGAATCATTACCGTCAGGCTTTTTGCTGTAAACACTGTCTTTTCAGAGAAAATGCAGTCTTTACATTACAGCCTAGTGATAACTTCACTGGCCACTCAGATGGCTGTTAGAGATCCTTCCTGGGTCCTGGCTGCCTACAATGCATCCAAACATTCAGTGTCTCCTCCCTCTGCATGCAGACACTGAATTTTCCTCATAGAGATTCATTGATTCAATTCATCTCTATGAGGAGATGCTGATTGGCCAGGGCTGTGTTTGAATCATGTTGGCTCTGCACCTGATCTGCCTCATTGTCAGTCTCAGCCAATCCTATGGGGAAGCACTGTGATTGGATTAGGCCACCACTTCTAATGATGTCAGCAAACTGCTTGTTTTTCTGAGTCTAACAGAATGCAGAGTTACAGCTTTCAGGCTTGAATACAGTAAGATTGTGCTATATTTATGGAGGCATGAGGGGCCCAGGGGGACTAGATGGTGGTGTTAACACTATAGGGTCATGAATTCATGTTTGTGTTCCTGACCCTATAGTGATCCTTTAAAGTAATGCTGACTTTGGTCCCTCTAACACTGTGGCATGTTCCCTTTCTTCTACACTCACTACATACAGCTTTTCTCTGTCCCAGACTATATACCAGGAGCTTCTGCCTGCTAGTAAGAAGGTAAGGAGGCAAGTGGACCAGCGAGTGCTAGGGGACAGTCCTTAGAAAACGTTGAGCGAGCGCATCATTAGATGCATTTATGATTTGTGTCAGTAGCACACCCTTTTACCATGCCCATTGACTTCCTGCTTGACTGGACACTGCTGTTAGGGGTTATGGATTTACTTGAAAGATGAAAACATAAATTAGAGAGAGATTAGCCTTTTCTTATAGCTGCTGTTTTCTTTCTCTCCAGCACCATATCCATCAGATACATGACGCTTGGGAGTGTTTTACTGTTTTTGGTCGATATGCATTTTAAATATCAGATTAACACAAAGGCCCTCTTTGATACATTGCTAAATAATATTGATTGTTGTATGGAGACATTTGTTGTTATATGTACATTGTTATCATTGTCCTTTCTCCTTTCTTGTATTTTGTTACTATGCTACTGATATATTTATCTTTTGATATGCCCTGAGTATGGTTGTGGAGGAAATGGACTACAAAGAAATAGGTGTTACTTCAATTAAATGAGATCGAGGTGCCATTGCACCATGGGACATGTAGTACCCGAAACCGGAAGTGACGCGACAGCATTTTGCCCGCGAAAACCGGAAGTGACGTCAATCAACACAAAGCATGATGGAACCTGTAGTACAGACGGGCGGAAATGACGTGACGCCATTCTGAGGACACCAGACGCAACTAATACAAACGAGGAGAGGAAATTTTAGGCGGGAATTTCGAACATTTAAAAGGGGACTCAACCCATGACACCATCAGGAGCTGACTGAGGAAGCCGTTTTTTCGGTGAAACGCGTTTTGGCTAACCAGGTGGACCTGTTATCAGACCACTCAATACATTTGTATTATATTTACTTGTTTTTATTATTTTCTAGAAGTATATATACATTTTTAATAGTTTCTTAAATAAACATATATTTTTTATCCACCATTGAATTACACTCTGCGCAAGTGATTCCAGGAAGGGGAAGTGTCACCCCTACTAACTGACACTAGGCTAAAAATACTTAGAGCCAGTTACCACAGGCTCTAAAGAAGGTGAGCAATTTTGTATTTTATTTACATTGATTTATATCGGTATCTAAAATAATACATTTAGATTGGGGATATCTGTGTCTTTTTTCTATGCAACGTGGAGAGGAAATTACGCTCTTTTTTTCACCATGAGAGACGGGTCGTGTGATCTACCCTAAAAAGACACAGACACCTGGAAGTTTAGAGCCTTATAACTGTAAAAGGCTCTAAAAAATGTGAGTTTATTTCAATTCATCATTCACAACTAAAGGACTTTTTTTGGATATTTATTTAACATACTACACTATTATTTGTACTCTTTCTGTGTTTTCTATTTTTTATATATCACTAAGAAAACTAAAGCACAATATATAGGGTAAGCGCGTGTGTTAGCACTGTCCTTTCACTGAAAATTTCACTATATATTTAGCGCTACACTCATGAGGAACTGAAGATCTGGGAGATATAAATATCCACCTAGATCCAAAGTTTTCTCTGTTCTTTTTGGTGTTTAATTATGTATGGTGGGTTATAAGGAGTACCCACGGAGTGTATATAGCAGCTAAAACCACAATTCACTAATTATATAGCGCCACTATTCCACATCTTTTTGTGTTCAAATTCTCGATATGATTCTGTAATTAGGCCCATCATAATTGTCAGCACCAGGCCCACTGGGCTCTTAATCTGGCCCTGTATATACATACAAGACTTATTCAACTATAGAAAAACACAGCCAGTTATTACACACACCAAATAAAAGTGCATACATTTTCACAATCTCCCAGGGGCCATAGTCATGCGGGAGGAGGCTGGCAAGTAGGCTTCTCCACAACCCAGGGAAGCAGGGCAATTTGCCATTTAAAGGGCCCGTTACAAATAGCAGTTTGTAACAAGGTGTCAATCCATATCTGCCAAGTGACCCGATGTAGGGGGACCAGTCCCTATTCTGCTCTGTGTCAGTGTGTACCAGGGAACCTTAGGACAGGTGTCAATCCATATCTGCCAAGTGACCCGATGTAGGGGGAACAGTCCCTATTTTGCTCTGTGTCAGTGTGTATCAGGGATCCTTAGGACAGGTGTCAATCCATATCTGCCAAGTGACCCTATGTAGGGGGACCAGTCTCTATTCTGCTCTGTGTCCGTGTGCATCAGGGGCTCTGAGGACAGGTGTCAATCCATATGTCAAGGTGTCAATATGTCATATGTCAGGTGTCAATCCATATTCATTGTGATTTAGGAATGTTAGGTGATTTCTGCCCTTTATGGATTAAAACCAGACTCTGTATCAACTGTGTAATTTTCCATGGGAGTTTTGCCATGGATCCCCCTCCGGCATGCCACAGTCCAGGTGTTAGTCCCCTTGAAACAACTTTTCCATCCCTATTGTGGCCAGAAAGAGTCCCTGTGTGTTTTAAAATTCGCCTCCCCATTGAAGTCAATGGCGTTTCGGGCGGTTCGCCGGTTCGCGAACATTTGCGGAAGTTCGCGTTCGCCGTTCGCGAACCGAAAATTTCGGGTTCGCGACATCACTATTTATAATGTGCACAATAAAATAAAAAAAGCAGCGCTCCACAACACTTCATTCAGCCAATTCCCCAAAAACTACTTTAACAATATGACCCTAGTATTAGTAAACGTCTACTGCGTCTACTAATCTGCAAGTAAATAGTGTCTGATTGCTGTGACAAAGACAAACAACTGGGCCTATCTCCCACTCCCTGGTAATAGGGGGCTCTATTAAAATTAAAGGACCACTATAGGGCCAATAAAACAAACTCGTTTTCCTGGCACTATAGGGTCTTTGGGTCCCCCCCACCCTCAGGGTCCCACTCTCGCTGGGCTGAAGGGGTTAATCACTTACCTTAATCCAGTGCCAGGCTCCTTCGGCGCTGGGGACTCTCCGACTTCATCCGCCGAATTCGCATTAATCAATGCTTTCCTATGGACGTCAACGTCATCTCACTGTGAAAATCACAGTGAGAAGCGCGGAAGCACCTCTAGCGGCTGTCAATGAGACAGCCACTAGAGGCTGGATTAACGCTCAGTGTAAACTGCTATGTTTTCAGCTGCTATGTTTCCCTTGAGGGACCTGGCACCCAGACCACTTCATTGAGCTGAAGTGGTCTGGGTGCCTATAGTGGTCCTTTAAGTTATTGTTAATAATAAAAAAAAAAATAATGTACTATCAAATGTGTTTTCTTCTTAAAGCTTCTTCTCTTCAACAACAAAAAAAAAGACAAGCAAAAAACAAACCCCAAAACATGAACACCTTCCAACATACACAACTAATAACATTACACAGGAGCCCAACATACATGCTCACATTGCACGCACAGTGGAACCCCAACATACATACTGACATTGCACGCCCACAAAAATTAAAGGATCCCGGTGTAATCCCTGATCTGCATATGAAGGATCCAGGCGTAATTCCTAAAGTGTATGTGAAGGATCCCGGCATAATTCCTGATGTGGATTTGAAGGTTCCCGGCGTAATTCCTGATGTGGATGTGAAGGATCCTGGCGTAATCCCTCATCTGGATTTGATCCAGGCGTAATCCCTGGTCTAAATAGGAAGGATGCAAGCGTAATTCCTATTGTGGATATGAAGGTTCCTAGTGTAATTCCTGATGTGGATGTGAAGGATCCCAGCGTAATTCCTATTGTGGATATGAAGGATCCAGGCGTGATTCCTGAAGTAAATATATAGGATCCCGGTATAATCCCTGATGTTCATATGAAGGATCCTGGCGTTATTCCTGATGTGAATATAAGGGATCCCGGCGTAATTCCTGATGTGGATATGAAGGATCCCAGCGTAAACCCTGATGTGTATATGAAGGATTCCGGCGTAAACCCTGATGTGTATATGAAGGATTCCGGCATAATCCCTGATGTGGATATGAAGGATCTGGCGTAATCCTTGATGTGGATATGAAGGATCCCGGCGTAATCCCTGATGTGGATATGAAGGATCCTGGTGTTGCGGCGTTATTCCTGATGTGGATATAAAGGATCCCGGCGTAATTCCTGATGTGGATATGAAGCATCCCGACGTAATTCCTGATGTGGATATGAAGGATCCCAGCATAATTCCTGCTGTGGATATGAAGGATCTTGGTGTAATTCCTGATGTGGATATGAAGGATCCTGGCGTAATCCCTGATGTGTATATGAAGGATTCCGGCGTAATTCCTGATCTGTATATGAAGGATCCCGGTGTGATCGCTGATCTGGATATACAGGATCCTGCTGTAATCCCCGATCTGCAGAGAACTAATAACATTGTGGCGAAACCAACCTCGCCACTGTGAACTGGAGAAGCCTGGCTGCCCGCCTCCTACCTGCTGACTATGGCCCCTTGTGAATTTGTACTTTGGAAAGCAATATTTGGGCATGTGGTATTTTATATTGCTGCTACTGGCCCTTTAAGAGCCATCCGTGGACATATGACTTTTTAGGAACAATATCCCTTTAAGACTTTGTAGCAGATTACAGTAAGGATGTCTTTTATATTATGTATGTTCCTGTGTGTTCGGCTAGATTGTATATGTATATGCAGCATTCCCCTGATTGTTCGGTAGAATCACTCCATTTATTATATTGAGTGAAACTACCGAACAACCAGACCACCCAGGAATAAGTGTGCCTCCAATTACTGTTTGCAAATGGGTAATTGGAAATCGATGTAATGTGTTCTTTTGTCCTCTGGGTGGCCGCCATTCGGGAAACGAACACGGGGCGGCGGCCATCTTAAACTCCCGAACAGCGGTGTTTTGCCGTCGAGTGTCTGGAACTAAAATCGGACACTCGACTAGGCAAACACCGCCCAGACCCTTTCAGACTTCCATGAATTCGTGTGGAAACTACCGAATGACCCGCCGTTCGGTAGAAAGAATCCCATGAACAAGGGAATTCGGTTAAACCCTCTCCAGGCTCTGTAACACAGGCAATTTGTGTGTTTCATTCCCTTTTCTGTGACCGACTGCAGGGCCAAAATACATGGAACTATTTTCGGATACTTTTGCCATGCAGTCGGTCAAAACTTTAACCCTCCATAATTCTCGAACCCCTGGTCCGATCTGGGTGATTTTTGGATACGTGTCTCACCCAGATCAGGGCTACCAGGGGATGTAAAAGGGGTATCTCTATGTTTAGGGGTACATCCAGTATCCCAGGGAATTTGTGTCTGGACTAATGGGATTATGCGACACACTAAGGGGAGGAGATGTGTGGGTGGTAACTGGCACACTATTGGTTGGGGTACTAATTGTTGTGGATCCCTCCCTTGCATGGGAGAATGTCTTAAAAGGAGGTTGTGTGAATAAATCTGCAGATTCTGCTTAACCCTCAAAACGAAGTGTCGTCTCTTTATTGGGGGAATTGGATTGTATGCTGACTGCCAGGAGTGTAACCCTGTCGGATGGTTTTCCTGTTCGGATATTTCCAGTGTTAATGTGTTTCCAGTTCGGGAGATCGGTGCTTACAGTAGCTGTCGGTGTAGCTGAGAAAGGGGAATATCGCCTAAATGGTTTTTAACC